GTACCGTAAGCACGTTAAACAAAGAGGCTGCAGAAGCAAAAATTATACATGAAACATTAAGGGACCAAACTCTAGCAGTATTCATTAAAGGATTAGTAGAACCGATTAGAACGATAGTAAAATCTCGTAATGCTAAAACTCTTGAAATCGCGAAACAAATCGCTATGTCAGAACAGGTAGAATTAAGATTAGAACAGGAAAATAGGAATCATTATTCGAGTAGTTATTCGCAAAACAATAATCAACGTAGACCAAATTATGAAAATAGGAACAACAGGAACGTAAGACCAAATAACTTTGTAAGGCCGAATAATTTTGCGCAAAATAATAATCCACGAGCAAACAATTTCTCTCAACCAATTAATAGACCACCAATAAAATGTTATAACTGCAATGGAAATCATTTTGCATCACAATGTAGAAATAATTCGAGACCTAACTACGCGAGCAACGGAAATAACAACCGTCCACCTAATAGAAATAATTTTACGCAACCGCCAACAAATTATAATGCACAACCAGTTACGTGTTCATATTGCAATAAAATCGGTCATAACGTAGATTCATGTTACAAAAAGAGAAACGACGGAAGTAGAAATAATTCGGGAAACGCCAACGTGTCGAACGAGGTACGCGGTACTCGCACGATAAACCAGATTATCGCGGAACAACCGACGAACGAATATTTCACATATTCGCAAAACTAGAAAACAATCATATAACATTCGATTCTAATGCCGCAAAAACTAATCAATTACATTTAATGATAGATACAGGTAGTCAGGTAAATATTCTCAAAATAAATTGCTTACGCGAAGAACTAGAAGTAGACGAAACGCAAAAAATAAATCTACGCGGTATAAATGAATGTCTTACAAAAACCATAGGGAAAATATCAATATTAATTAAATTAAATAGCGAAAACATTAAAACAGAATTTCATATCGTAAGTGCACGATTTCCAATACCCAAGGACGGAATATTAGGAAACGAGTTCTTGTCAAAAAATAACGCAATAGTCGATGTAGCAAACAACAAATTAATTATTCAAACGACCTCGCATGCGCTAACAAATTTCAAGGAGACCGACAAAACCAGTTTTATTAAATTAAATCCGCGGACTGAAACTATTGTAGGAATACAGATAGCTGACCCACTCATAGAAAGCAAAGAAATATTTATACATAAGCAAGAACTAGTAAAAGACGTATATTGCAGTAGTACAGTATCAATCGTTAATAATGGTAGGGCAATAGTTAGCATGTTAAATATCTCGGAAGAAACGAAAAATATATCTGAATTTGATTTAAATAAAATACTCTTTGATACTGAATACGAAATATATAATGTAGAATCGACAAATGATCATAAAGAACGAATAGAACGTTTGAAACAAGTAATAATAACTGACCATATGGACGAAATTGAAAAACAATCTATTTACGAAATATGCGAACGATATAATAACATATTTCATTTGGAAGGGGATGTTTTAACATTCACCAATGTCGGTACACATTCTATTAAGTTAAAAAAGGATCAGCCACCTATCTATCGTAGACCTTATAGATTACCACACGCACAACAGGAGGAAATAAATTCACAAATTCAAAAAATGGAAGAAAATGGAATTATCGAGAAATCGAGAAGTCCATGGAATTCCCCACTATTATTAGTACAAAAGAAAATGGACAATTCAGGAAAACAAAAGTTTAGAGTAGTAGTAGACTTTAGGGCACTTAACGAAGCTACTATAAATGAATTTCACCCTTTACCAAATATTACAGAAATACTAGATCAACTAGGAAATAGTCAATTATTCTCTCTATTAGATTTATCGAGTGGTTTTTACCAAATTTTGATGGAAGAAGACTCACGAGAGTTAACAGCCTTTTCGACTAACCAAGGTCACTGGCATTTCAAACGAATGATACAGGGAATGAAAACGAGTCCCGGAACCTTCCAAAGAGTTATGAATTCAGCTCTGGCAGGTTTAATAGGAATAAAATGCTTAGTATATTTAGACGATATAATAGTATATGGAAAAAATTTATATGATCATAACGAAAAATTAATAGAAGTTTTCGAGCGTTTACAAATAAGCAATTTAAAATTACAACCAGATAAATGCAACTTCTTAAAAAGAGAATGTGTATATCTAGGACACGTTATTACGAAAGACGGAATAAAACCCGACGAACGTAAATTAAAAGCAGTAGTGGAATTTCCAATACCAACAACCGTAAAAAACATTAAATCATTTTTAGGATTAAGTGGTTATTATAGGAAATTCATAAATTCATATAGCGCAATAGCAAAACCACTAACCAATTTATTAAAGAAAGACACGAGTTTCGTATGGAGTAACGAATGCCAAAAGTCATTCGATACCTTGAAGGCAGCGTTATGCTCAGAACCAGTTTTAAAATATCCGGATTTCACAAAAACCTTCTTATTAACTACAGACGCGAGTAATAAAGCACTCGGAGCTATTTTGTCTCAAGGAGAAATAGGTAAAGATTTGCCAATATGTTATGCGTCGCGCATATTAAATAAAAGCGAAAGCAATTATTCAACAACAGAATTAGAATGTCTTGCAATAATATTCGGAGTTAAACAGTTTCGACCATATTTATACGGTAGGAAGTTTATAATACTTAGTGACCATCGTCCATTAACGTGGCTCTTTAATTTAAAAAATCCATTATCAAAGTTAGCTAGATGGAGAATACAATTAGAGGAGTATGATTACGAAATACGTTACAAACCCGGAGTATCAAATTCAAATGTAGATGCACTCACACGCATGTACTCTATACAGGAAATAAAAAACGAATCATATGAAAATTTTCTCGAAAAATTAGAAACACAAATTATAACAAATAGTAATGTAAAAGAAACTATAGGCACAGTAATAGATTCACCAAACGAATATAATATAGTGTCAGAAATTGCCAAGCAATATAATTTCAGAACAGGAATAAATTATCAGTTAAAAAAACAATTTGGAAACGGTATAATATTACCGACTAGTAAAGTAATAGGGGACACACCATATTTCAAACATGAAAACCGGTTTATAATATTCTTAGTAACAAAAAACAAAGAACGCCAAAGGGCAACTTACGAAAATATATATATATCGTTAATAAATTTAAAATTATTTTGTAAAGAGAACAATTTGAATAAATTAGCCATGGGCAAGCTAGGCGATCACGACGATTTAGAATGGGAAAAAATAAGGTCAATGTTGCGATACATATTTCGCGAAACAAATATAGAAATAATTATATGTGCAAATGTAGAATATAGTGAAGAAGAAAAAGCAGTCATTTTATCACAATTTCACGACTCAAAACTAGGCGGACATTTAGGTGTGAATAAAACTACTAAACGTATAAAAAAACAATTTATATGGAGGGGAATGAAAGAAGATATTAAAAAATATATAAGGAATTGTACGTCATGTCAGGTTAATAAGGTATCAAATCGACACATAAAACAACCAATGGCTATTACATCCACCTCGTCTAAACCATTCGAAAAAATATTTATGGATATAGTAGGGCCCTTGCCGATTACACTGTCCAATAATGTATACATTTTAACGATGGAGGACGATTTGACACGTTACACTTTAGGAATTCCACTTCCTGACCAGAAGGCAAATACTGTTGCGGAAGCCTTTGTTACACACTTCGTTTGTGTACACGGCATACCAGAAACAATACTCACGGATCAAGGAACTAATTTCCTCTCGAAAACGTTTGCAAATGTTTGTAAAATATTAAAGATAGAAAAGGTTAACACAAGTCCATTCAGACCGCAGGGTAACCCCGTAGAACGCGCTCATAGGACCTTAGCCGAGTACTTAAGACATTATGTAGATAAGAATTTAAATAATTGGGACCATTTACTACCCTTTGCATTCTTTGTATATAATTCAACGGTACATACTTCTACTAATTTTCAACCATACGCATTAGTCTATGGACGTACGTTGGAGGTACCGATTAGATTAAAAGCCGAACCTGAACCACGTTACAATTATGATGATTATATATTCGATCTAAAAGAAAATATGCAAATTTCGCATAAAATAGCTAGAGATCATTTAATTAAAAATAAAATAAAAAGTAAAGAACGTTATGATAAAAATGAAAATCCACAAGAACTACACGTTAATGATTTAATATTATTAAAAGATAATAATCATAGAACGAAACTCGATCCAATCTGGCTAGGACCGTACGAGGTCACAGCAGTTATAGGGAACGAGAATGTAGCTATACAGCGAGGCCGCAAGGTCATCACTGTACATAGAAATAACGTAAAAAAATATTATAATGACGCACAAGTCGATTAAAAAAAAAAATAGCAATAATAAAAAATAATAAAAAAAAAATAATAGTAATAAGTATATAGCAAACATTAAGTTAGAATAATTATGTTAATTTTAGGAATAGAAACAGAACATTCATTTTGAAACTGGAAGAAGCAATAGTAAATGGAAACCACGATACAACCAATTTAGGCATAGAAAAATTTCCGAAATGTTTTATAGAACACATAACCATAGCAAATAATAAATTAACCGAACCGTACACCGAAGCGGATATAAGTGAGATCACACGTAACATAAAAGGGTTTCTGTATGTTATGACAGAAAATAGAATAGAAAATCTGGAAAAAATTAATTGTCAGGACCTAATTGAATTTATCGACGTTATACCAGAGCCAGAGGACCTACTTTATTACAGAAACTTATTCTCAGAAAATAATTAATAACGAATGTAATAAAATGGATTCAGATATAGATAAAAACTAATTTATTAAACAAAAATATACATGATAGTTAACATCATGAAAATAAATTTAATTTAATAAACAAGTTTTTTATTATTATTCGGAATCGTCTTCCTCGTCATCCGAAATTAATATTCTTGACACGATATGTTGCGGCAAAGGAGTAAACCCCTCCGGCCACTCAATTTCCATAATTATGTCCGGCCCTCGAGCTAATAAAAACAATTTTAAAAAAAAAAATAATAATAATTAAATAAATCCTTAAGCAAAAACAAAAAAAATATATACGCACGGTTTCGAATGACATATATCCGAGTGGTGTCAGAAGTGGGCTCCATGCTTTCTTGAATAATAAATCTAATCAAAAAAATATATACAATAAAAATAAAAGCAAAAAATAATTACGATAAAAAAAAAAAAATATAAATTTTAATTTTAGGGACAGACAAAGGAAATTCATTGAGGAACTAAAAATGGCAATCGAACAAGAAATACACGAAACATATACTTTAGGACCGGAACACACACCGAGGTGTCTAATAGGACATATTAATACAGCAAATAATTTTATGGAGGAACCATTTGGTACTCTTGAAATAACAAAAATTACGCAAATTATAACATTAATTATGTACGATTTGTCATCAGATTCGGTAACACACACAAATACTTTGTGTAAACGGTTAATAGATTATATAAAACTCTTACATGATGCTAGAGATATTTTAGATTATATAAGATGGTATTAATTTTATAAAAATATAATAAGACAGTTAGTTTAATATAAATATACTTTGTACTTTTAGATTGGTGATGGTGACGAGTTTTCTAGTCAATATTATTGAATCTGACGAAATAAATACATCAGAGTACTTTTCGTATACGCCTTATGGAGTTGGCAGGGGTATACAATATGAAGGGTTGGGGCCAGTTAGATTAATAGGGGCTCAATACAATCTTTTAATGTTTTACTCATTAAAGGAATATAACACGAAATATGAACTATTGGGGGAAAAAATTAAAAATATAACAAATTTATGTACTGACCAAAAACATCAAGATTTATGTGGGAAATATCAATTAGTAATTACAGACTTATATAACGAAATAACTAAACAGAAAGAACGTACATATATGTCGCTAGGAAGTACTATGGAGGACATTAAAAACAACAGAAAGAAAAGGGGATTAATAAACATAATAGGTAACACCATGCATACGTTATTTGGCATATGTGATGACAAGTGCACTAAGAAAACACAAGAAGCTATACAAAAAACGGAAGAATCAGGAACTAATATATTACACATAATGGCAGCTCAAACTACTGTAGTGAAAACAACAATAAGAAGTATTGGTAACACAATAAATCAAACCGAACAATTATACAATAATATTACGGAAAAGGAACAAAAACTAAACGAAAAAATGTCAAAAATACAAAACAAAACAAATGATATATTAGACTTACTAATGAAAAATGAAATACATAATTTATATACAATAATTATTAATCAATATTCCTACGAAACAGAAATATTGGGACAAATAGTAACTGCCGCTAGAGAAGGTATGATACATCCAAGTCTTATGACACCGCAAGAATTAGCATCAACATTAAAAGCAATAGAACAAAACATAAAGAAAATATACAGTATTCCGATGGGAACAAAGAGATATGAAATAAATGAATTTCAAAAAATTACAAAAATAAGAATCTACTATTCAAACGACAGATTAGTATTCGATATAGTAATACCACTAATTATTGACACTGAACTCACATTATACAGGTTAACACCAGTACCAATGCGTCATAACCAAGATAATTCTAGTGGATGGTACATGATGGACATTACTTATAATAATATTGCTGTAACCAAAGGCTATAAAAAATTTACTACATACACAGATCAACAATTAAACGAATGTAAAGAAACATCAATATACAAAATATGTAATACACCACAACCTATACAGGACAACAATGAACGCCAACCATGCGAAGTACAAAACTTTTATAAAGCTGACACGTATGCTAATCCTGAGTTATGTACAGTAAAGAAAATAAATTTAAAAAGAAGCATATACCAAAAATTAAAAAGAAAAAATACATGGATTCACGCAGGAAAAGAGACTTTAACTGTAAGTTGCGCGAACTTAATAGACTCATTTATAATACAAACAAATGAAGCAGGAGAAATAGCTATAAACGACATTAGTTGTCAAGTATTTGCACGAGACGCAGTATTAACTGCCACGGAAGAAATCCAAATTACAAAATATAAAGACTTTACACCTGTAACTAACATGAATAATATTTTAGAAAAAATACCCGAACATATACACAAATTCGAAACAGATGAAAAGTGGGAAAAGGGACTAGCTATGCAATTCACAGATTTACACGATGCATCCAAATCTTTAGACGAAGTACAACAAATGATTAACCAAGAACTTTCAAGAGAACAAAATCAAAAGCATCAATTTGTACACAGTAATTTACTATATGTAACAATAATACTGGCAGTAATATCTATTATACTAATAATAGCAATCTACATAATGATAAAATGCAAGTACATCAGGTCCACAGAAGTCATGGAATTTCCCGGCAGAATAGTTAGATATAGGGCACCCAATAGAAATGACTACATACGAAATTATGAAGAAACACCCTTTACTCCACCCCCTTCACCAAGATAATAAGTTAATTAATAAAACAAATAATAACAATAAAAAAAAAATATAATAAAATATAAGTTAGAAAAATAGTAATAATATAGAAATAATAATAATTAAAATAGAGGTAAACAATTAATTTAATAAATAAATAAGAGCTAGGTATATGTAAACTATTAGAGAAATACTATATATATAATTATGTTTCAGGAAACAAACAAGAAGGATTTCAAAATAAATATAATAAAGTACATAAAACCCACACCAATGCCTGAGCCTAATGTTTTTTATAAGGAACTAAGGGATAGGTTAATAAACGATACACATAATCAATTGGTACTAAGGAACACAATATATGTACGTTGTTTTAGACAACACGTAATAGACGCAAATAATAATATGCAAATACCTTTTAACGAAACTGAACTTGAAAATGTTATGGATCCGTTAACAGCCTTCTTTTGTACTAGATGTAACCGCGAACCAGCCTGTAATTCAATGTGTTTGAAAATCGCAGAAATATTAGATCAATATTATATTCAACACCAAATTTACAGTGAAGAACATATTCGATAAATAAATTAAACAAAACAAAATATAAAATAAAATAATAATAAAATATAATACGTGCATAAAGAAATAATACGTAAATAATATCCTATAATTTAAATAAATAATATTACGTGCAATAATATATACATATACGTAAATAATATTCTAAATAATACTTATAACTTTTAACTATTTCAGAAATTAAGAAGAAAACAAAAAATATATATAAAAACAAACGTAAAAATTTTAAGTACAAAATGGGTGAAAACATACCACCTGTAGCACGAACCGTTCGAATGCAACTACAAACATTTGAGTTTCTCAGAGAGTTAAAAAACGAATTAATTGAATCAACCAATCATACACAAATAATGCGAGGGGAAGTGATCAGATTACATTGTTTCCCAGAACATATAAGAAGGGCAAATAGTAATATGACCATACCTTTCAGGCCGAATTTCTTAGCACGGGTCATGATCCATGTTAACGATTTTGTACGCACAGTTATCTTAAGACCAAATCATAATCGACCAATGTGCGTAGAGTTGGGTTTACTGATAGAACAACTAATCCGACGACGCGAAATCATTGAAACGATTTTCGAAGAATAAATCAGGAAACTATATCGTATATCAATATCATATATCATATATCAAATATCAAATACATAGTTATAAATACAAAAAACCAATTTAAGTTGTTTTTAAAGAAAAATAATTATTTTATTTTAGCTCACAGGTACGCTTTTTTATAATGGATTTCGAGTTCTTTACCGTCAGTAAGAACGAAACGATACTGGTATCCGGCGCGATATCGAATAGTTTAGAAAAATACCAACCCAAGAAATTGGAGGGGAGTCCTCTTATACTTACAAAGGATGATAAGTTAAGAAGATTCCGCCGATGCGACCTAAAGAAAACAGTGCAGAATATCAAACGAGTATTCCGAGGGAAAAAGGCAAGAGTGATTGAACCATTGCTGGAACAGTTGTACAACAGTATAAGTCGCCAGGGGGAATCAACCTTGTCTACGGTATACTTGCAAAGATATTTGCACATAAACGATAGGGAGCCACTAATAGTATTTTGGAACGGAACGACAGATATCACGATAATTAAGCGTTTAAGATTAACAGGAATTTTAGCATATTTAAATATATCGGCAATTAGCGTTAGGAATAATGACGAATTTGTATTAGAATTATCAAACCTAGAGACTAAGGAAGTTTTATATTCAGGTTATTTAGGTAAATTAAATAAAAATGGTAGAATGTTAGGACTATCAGAAGCTCATGAACTAGCATGCGATATTAATCATAATATTACACATTGTCACGATCCAGTTGCAGACGTAATTTTAACAAAATGCCTATTCAATTACATAGTAACAAAGATAAAGCCTATTAAATTATATAAATTAGCAAAAAAATATAAAAGGAATTTTAAGGCAAATAAATAATAATTATTAGTTAATAAATAAATATAACACAAAATAAATTAAATAAACAAATACATAAATTAACATTTATTATATATTTTAGATTCATTGAGGAGCTAAAAACAATTTTAAAAACAGAAGTACATATTTATAACGTTAAAGAAAATAAATTACAATCCGTATGCTTTAATTGGCATATATTAAAGGCAAACAAGAAAATAAATAACCACTACGATCATAGAACTTTAAATAAAATAACTAGAAGCCTTGAACTTTTCATAGATGATCATTGTAATGGAGAATGCAAACAATTAGTAAAAATAATAGAAAACACTAGAGATCCAACTTACATGATGAATTATCTTGAATAGAACCATAGTTGCATATGTCTGTGACAAATTTAACAATTATTCACATAAATTAGTATATAGGTGAAGGATAAATATTATTATTATTATAAAAGGGGAAATACTTAAATTGTATACTTACGTAACGCTTATAATGTTATAATTTCAGGTACCTATACTATTTTATTAAAGATTATTAATCATTTTTACTAACACTAATTGTTAATTAAATCATGTATTAATTTATTTTACTAACCACAATTAAAATCGTAAACAATAATAATAATAATGATGACATTAAAATTGTAAAATGCTCACATTATTGTAATCAAATGTAATACTATAATCAAATTGTTAACTGCATACAAATTTAAAATGTCAATGTAAACAATGTAATTCAGCCATTGTAAACTATTAATTAACGATGTTAAAGATTCTTAACCCTTAAAGGTTAACAATCTTTTTTTTGGTAGGGAGGTGTAATGGGATTACGCAATACCATATATTTTGCTCATAATAACAACCAGGAATGCGACCACACCCAAAAGTGTTTTCGACTACGAATACCACTTTCATAATCGTGAGGTCCATATCAAGGGCGACTGTACACGCGCCGCTCACTTTCAAAGGACGCCGCCACCATATATATAGGGGACAGCGAGACAGCCTGAGTTAGATGTATCCAGAGACGAGAACACCACACGACTCGCTAGCCGCCCAGCCATTTCACACGACTTACACGGAGATTATCAACTTCGGAACGAACTACAAATTCACTACAATCAACACTATTATTCTGCTTGTTTTGTCTGGTTTAATATAATACATTTGATTACCATTCTAATTGACTATTATTATTTATCAAGTACACCAGCTTTTGGATCCCTGAAGGGCCGCATGTAACACTACCAATAAATACGACAAGATAATAATAATTATAATAATCGGATCCGCCGCGTGATAACCGCATACCAGAAACCTAGTAAGAATGTAAGATAGACCGACGTCACTTTTGATATTAATATTATATTAAGTAGGTATCTAATGTGCTGATGTCATTGTGCAGCAGCTGAATATAATAATAACCTATTCATATATACACGGTTGACTGAAATGCGACTCCCTCGTTCACTGGTATAATAATATATACGTGAAATACGGAAATGAACGAAAACGAAAAAAATCACAAGAAAACAATATAATAAATAACGTCCGTTCGTAGGGTGACCTTTGAAGGCGATTTAATAATGAATACGCATTCGGATTCGTCGGACTTCGTTCTAAGTCCAAGTTGTTTTAAACGTAAGTTGAATTGATACTGACTCGACGTGACTGCGCACGGATAGCTTTTCAATATAAAATTACAATTTGTTTCGATCTCGAAATAATTAATTGTCGTTTCGATGTGCATTGTAGTAGGTATAAAATATTATATTGTATATTATATTGTATTTTTATGTACCGCAATGACGAGAGATACATTTCGAGACTAGGTACTTGATATAATAATAGTACCTATAATATTGTAGTTACCTACTTATAATATTTAGAGTGATTATTATTCATCGCAGTCTGTGCATTTCTCATATAAATCAAAAACTGGATAGATTAGTGTTTCGTTTAGTATGGTTAAAAATTACAAAATTCATAGATAGTTCAAAATAACAATAGGTATTCGGCGGACTTTTGAAGACGATTTAATAATGAATAAGCGTTCGGATTCGGCTAACTTCTTTCTAAGTAGAAGTTTTTAACGTAAGTTGAATTGATACTGACGTGACGTGACTGCGCACGGATCGCGTTTCGAATATAAAATTACAATTTGTTTCGATCTCGAAATAATTAATTGTCGTTTCGATGTGTATTGTAGTAGGTATAAAATATTATATTGTATATTATATTGTATTTATATGTATCGCAATGACGAGAGATACATTTCGAGACTAGGTACTTGATATAATAATAGTACCTATAATATTGTAGTTACCTACTTATAATATTTAGAGTGATTATTATTCATCGCAGTCTGTGCATTTCTCATATAAATCAAAAACTGGATAGATTAGTGTTTCGTTTAGTATGGTTAAAAATTACGAAATTCATAGATAGTTCAAAATAACAATAGGTATTCGGCGGACTTTTGAAGACGATTTAATAATGAATAAGCGTTCGGATTTGGCGGACATCTTTCTAAGTAGAAGTTTTTAACGTAAGTTGAATTGATACTGACGTGACGTGACTGCGCACGGATCGCGTTTCGAATATAAAATTACAATTTGTTTCGATCTCGAAATAATTAATTGTCGTTTCGATGTGTATTGTAGTAGGTATAAAATATTATATTGTATATTATATTGTATTTATATGTATCGCAATGACGAGAGATACATTTCGAGACTAGGTACTTGATATAATAATAGTACCTATAATATTGTAGGTACCTACTTATAATATTTAGAGTAATTATTGTTCATCGCAGTCTGTGCATAATATAAATCAAAAACTGGATAGATTAGTGTTTCGTTTAGTATGGTTAAAAATTACAAAATTCATAGATAGTTCAAAATAACAATAGGTATTCGGCGGACTTTTGAAGACGATTTAATAATGAATAAGCGTTCGGATTTCGGAATTACGCACAGATCGCGTTTCGAATATAAAATGACGATTTGTTTTAATGATTATTGAAATAATTAATTGTCGTTTCGATGTGTACTGTAGTAGGTACCTATATAATATATAATATATTATATTGTACATTGTATTCGTATGTACATACAGCAGTGATGAGAGATACTTTTCTAGACTAATGGTATATTTTTATGGCCCCCATACGAACATGTTCAGTGGGGCCCATTATTTTCTTGAAGAATAAATAAAAATAAAAATAAATTATAATAATATAATAGTAAATAATTATGGGTACCTACCTATTCATAATATTATTTAGAGTAATTATTATTGGTTACATTTCTCATATTATGAATAAAAAACTGAACAAATTAGTTTAAAATAGCTATAAATCACAAAATACATAGATGACTTAAGATTAACAATAGGTTAGGTATACCCAATATACGTTTGAAATTATGACACTATATGTTTGGATAAAATACTTTAAAATTTTCGTTTTTAAATTACCTCTATTATCATTAAAACAACTAACGTATACAACCATAGCAATATTGTAGGTATACAATATTATTGTATGCATATTGTATAGTTTGTTTTTCATCTGAATTTTGTCTGTTAGATGAAATGTTTGAATGAAAAATCATAAAATTATGAAACGAATGACGATGCACTATAGAAAGTATATTATAATATGTATATTGCATATTTTCTTTTAATATTGTAATAAAATATTCATAGTATAAAAATAATAATGATTGTTGGTATATAAAGAATTTATATTATAACAAGTGAACAGTCATACCTATTATTATAATATTATAATTTCGGCTGAAAAGTAATGTATATAACAACTGTCCTGGCCACAATAGGTACCTACAACACATGTTTGCTTTT